CCGAAGAAGTGGGTTGTAGCCCACGAAAGCTTATGCTCTAATAAATTTGTTAGTCTCTAAGGTGCCACAAGTACTCCTGTTCTTCTTGCGGATACAGACTAACACGGCTGCTACTCTGAAACCTTAATTTGTAAAGTTTTAGTACTAGGAAGCATTTTATCTTTATTTTTCTTGTAACCATTTCTGACTTTAATACCCTAATTCTTATACTCATTTAAAACCTATCACTTTGTAATTTTTGTTCTTTACTCAGAATTAATCCAATGTTGCAAAGTGTGTGGGTAACTCCATTTAAGGTGCCAAGTTGCTGTATATTGTTCCCTGACAGGGACAACGGACCTTTGTTACTTAAACTGGCCACGAGAGGGCTGCACAGTGTAGTACAGAACACACACTTTTTTGGGCGGGGGGGTGGAATTCCAGGACGGGGGATGTGTTGAAGTCACCCTGCATGTGGAACTAAGGTTGGTGGAAGCCAGAGTGTGGCTTACATGCTGAAAGGCTGCTTGTGAGTGGTCCATGTTGGAGCTACAGCATCAAGGCATTGTGAGGCACCCCAGTTACAGGGCATGGATGACACAGCCCCTCACTGGTCTAGATTGGACCCCAAAGAGTCAAAGGTAGGTGTATCCGCATTTTCCAGATGGAGGAAATGAAGGTACAGAGAAGTTGAGTAGTCAGATTTTCAGAAGTGCTAAACACCCACAACTTCCACTGAAGTACACAGGAGCGGCAAGTTCTAAGCATCTCTAAAAACAGCCCATAAATGATGTGCAAGATACAGTGAGTCAAACCACAGATAAAAACCATTTTCTCTTGCCTCTCCATTCCACAAAACCACACTGTCTACATACTTCTAAATCCTATTTTTGACAATCACCTCAAAGCAGGAAGTTCAGCCAACTGATGTATATCAACAATTTTCTGTGAGGAGCTGGTAAAAAGGAAAGCCATAACAGACTAACACTCAGCTCTTTGGCCCTGCTCCTTGCCATTTGTGATGCTCCACCATCTCAAAATAATGGAAAAAGCAGGAGTTACAACAGTTAGAAGTTTTTAAAATACATCAATAACATAACAACTCAACTGAATGGTAAAAGATATATATGCTTCAAAGCATATGCCAGATTATAATTAACAGTGGGCAGGGAGAAACTTTCTCTCACTGTGTGCAGGTTATTTCATAACTGCCTATTTCAGCATTTCTTACACATAATTTTGTGTCTCCCTCCAGCATGTAATTGCCTTTGTAACACAAACTCCCCTCCACCCCAACTTTGTTCCTGTATAGTTCCAGTGGATTGATGGAAGGGCTTTTAGGTACCCCTTATCAGCCTGCATTGAATCATTCAGCACTGGCATAAACTGCAAGCAAGCAGGATTTGGCCAAATGTTTGTGTTTTTTTATAAAGCTCTCATTCCAGTACTTCCACTATTTACCATAATTATAACAAAAAAATGAAATGGTGTCAAGAGGGGTAAAGGGCTAACACAAATTCTGAAACTTATTCCTTTGTGGGCAAAATTCCTCATGCCTACAGCCAAACACAATTTTCTTAAAAACCAGTGTCATCTTTTAAAAAAAAGGCCTTTTATTAATTAAAAGCAAATGAAATTTCTTTCAATCATATTTCAAATTTTATTCAAAAGGCCAGACTTTAGGGATTCCACAGGTACATGTGGCTAGAGCTCTGGATAAGGAATATTCTGTTTAGATCAATCAAGCCAGGTAGAGCTCAATACTTCCAAGAGCTCTCTGTTGATCCTCTTGAAGGCTCAGGCTCTAAATGTGGTGGGTAATTATAGCAAAATGTTTGGGTAATCTTTGCAAATTTACTCCTTACTACGTGTAAATATGGGAAACACACAAGGAGCAGAGGGAAACGTTTGTCTTTACCTGACATCTTATGCTTTAGGCCGGCCAGCTTCCCCCCCTTTTGTGTCCAATCTGCATTTGGCAGGAGCAGGACGAATATAGCTGTTTATATTTTATTACATTTGCTTCTTTGCAGTGATGGCACTGGGAGAGTCACTATATCAACTCCCCAGCCGGCAGCTACTTTTGCTTTCTGAGCGAGATTAGGTAGGCGTGAGGCTGGATCACAGGGTATAAACCCGTGACCCGCCGGAGGGCTCAGAGAGGCGCCCTTCCAGCAGGGGAACAAGCCCCTAGAGTGGCCCCTCTCTCTGCACTTCCCCCCCGCCCCCGCATCATTTACCCCAGGCTTTGCCCCTTCCCTCCCTGCCCGCTCCCTGGGCAGCCCCAGGAGGCCGGCGGGGCGGGGCGGGGCGGGGCTCAGCTGCTCCCGGGCATGCTCAGTGCTGCGAGGGAGCGACGCGGCCCCTAGGCGGGGCGGGCTGGAAGGCAAAGGCTGTGCAGCGCGAGCTGCAGCAGCTGGGATCAGGGATGCCTCCGTGGGGATCGGCGGTGGCGGCCGGGGTCTCCCCGGCTCCCCCGATGCGGGGCGCGGCGGCCGCCCAGGGGAACCACTCCGACCTCGGTGGGTGACTCCGTTGTTTCCTTGCGCCGCGTAGGAGTTTCGTTGGGCCGGGACTGGAGCCGCTGCCCCCCGAGCACCCGCTTCCCGACCCCCGACTCTCCCCCGCCCGCCGCAGGGCCACTCACCGCGCCTGCTTTCGCCTCCCCCGGCTGCGGCCTCCCTGTGCTGCACGCCTGAGTCCCGCCGAGCACCCCGCTGTGTGTGGCCCCGGGGGTCCGTTCCGCTTGTCCCCCGCCGCCCCTCCCCCTGAGCGGGTGGGCATCCCCCACGGGCCGCCCCAGAGCCTCGCTCAATCCCCGTCCTAGCCCAGCGATCTCCCGGGCCCCTCCTCGTTACTTCCCCCGGCTCCCCGTCCCACCCCGGCGTCCCCTAGCGCAGCGCCCTCCTCTATCCCTCTGCCTCTACCTTGCTTCCTTCTCCCTCTTACTGCGCTCCGACTTCCCCGGGGGCCGGCTCACTCGCCACTACCTGCCTTGCCTGGGCACACCCTGGGGGGGAACAGAGGCAGCCGGAGCTCTGGGGGTGACCCGGGTCCTTCCGGGTAGCTAGCCCAGTGCAGCCGCTTGTTACTGGGAGCAGGCGCTGCCTCCGGAGTCTCCTAACCTCTGCCCGAGGTGAGAGCGGCAGGCTGGGGCCACAGGCACTTTTTGAGGAGTTGAGTTGTATTATGTAGTCTCCGAGGTGGAAGAGGAGAAGCAGAGCTCGGTCTTGGTATTTCCTCCCCGAGCAGTTGTCCTTTCTCTAGGCGGTCTTACTTTTCTGATAGTTGGAAAAGCTCCCCTCTCGCTCCTCCCCCCCCTGTGAATGAGAGTTCAATTTGGTACAGCTTCTTGTGTAATATCCCATAACTAGAGGCACAGCTGGGGGTACTGAGGTCCCTGCAATGTTTCAAAGCTGTAGTAATAAAGTTCTTGGCTTTTCAAGTTCACCTCATGGTGCAAGTGGCCCAATTTTTGCTAAAACAAACCTCTAAAATATTGGTTTCATGGCTTGTTTTTTGCATTTCTTATATGAATTTGGCATGTCTGTTTTAAACTTGAGTCCAAAATTAAGTCAGTTACATACATTCCAGGTAGATGACTTCTCTTCAAAGGCTTCCTGTTGCTGCTTGAGGGAGATAAAGTGGTCCCTGAAACAGAAGATTGCATCTATTTGAAGAGATGCTGTCAACTTAAATTTGGTTCAAAATTTAAACTTTAGTAATTGAATTTTTATAATTCATGAGAACCCTGTAGATAATTCACATTGCAAAGAAATTTCAATGAAAACTGTTGTTTTTAAACCAACATTCCTCTACATGGATTTTAACCCAAACATTGCAGTACTAATAAACTAAAAGTGGAAACTGACTTCATTGCTTTTTATTGTCCAAGATAAGAAATGCAGAAAGTAATTGGAGCATAATTAGTGACATGTAAATTTGGTTTTAAAAAATTCATTAATTTTTAAGGTTGTGTCCAGAATTCTAGGTAAAGATACTTGTTTATAGTGTGACTTTTAAATTAACTATCTTTTTAAATAGTCTTGTGGAATGGAGTTGGTAAATCCAAAGGATTGGCTTGTTTAATTTGAAATTTTGAGTTTACTAGGGAAGGGTTAACCTAAGCAAACACGTGGGTATGATATTAAGCATTGCTCCAAGGCTTTTTACAGTGTGATTTTGCAGATCTATCTTTCCCAAATGGTGCAGCTGGGGTGGGGGATATAGTGGTAAAAACAGCCTAGCTTTATCTGCACTATGGCTTCTGCTGGAGGAGCTGCACCTAAAGGTATGTCTACACCAGGGGTCGGCAGCCTTTCAGAACTGGTGTGCCAAGTCTTTATTTATTCGCGGTAATTTAAAGTTTCGCGTGCCAGTAATACATTTTACATTTACGGTGGCCGGCGGATGGAACCCCAGACTAGCAGCGGGCTGAGCGGACCAGCGCCTGGGACCCCAGGCCAGCAGCAGCCTGCCACAGTAAATCAGCTCGCGTGCCGCAGGTTGCTGACCCCTGGTCTACACTGTAGTTAGGAGCAAACCTCCCAGCCCAGGTAAATCAACTCACACTAGTGGAGCTCAAGTTAGCATGCAAAAAATAACAATGTGGATGTTGTGGTTCAGCCTCTCACGCATGGGCGGTGCGTGAACCGCCAGTTGGGGGAGGCTAGCCCCCATCCCCCCGCTTCCGCGTCACGTGCCCCCGCCCCTAACGGAGCCCAGAGTCACTCCCACCGCAGCTGCAGGCCCCTGTCTTAGGCTAGTGCCCCCAGCCTCCCCCGGAGCGCTGGGAGGGCGGGTGGCGGGGCCCCAGCCACGGAGTGTTGGGAGGGCAGGCAGCCCAGCCCCATCCTGGAGCTGTGCTGAGTGGAAGCAGAAGGGGGAGCCTGGGGGCAGAGTGTGGGCAGGGCCACGCCTGGCTGTTTGGGGATGATACCCGCCGCCTATGCTCTCAAGCTTTAGTGGGCAGTTGGGCCTGACTCAAATTTAGTTCTGTTGAGTTTGAAGACAGTTGGTGAATTCTTGGGGTGGCATATAAAAAAATCAGCCCCATCTACCTGAGACTCGCTCCCAGCTGCAGTGTAGATGCACGCTGTGGGTCTGAAAGATCATAGCGTAGACAAAGCCTTGGAGCACACACTAACTTTTAGCGTCATATCCAGGTGTTGGCAAAGTTGACTCTTATCTGTCAATCCCAAATTTTCATTAAAACAGGCTCATCTTCTGGAGTTACTAACTTGTATTGACTCAGGTCTTCTGCCAAGGGAACTAATTATTTTTTTCTGGTGTGTGTGGGGGGAGGAGGTTGTAAGAAAAAGAGGGAATTCCACCCCCCACTCCCAACATAGCCTTTCTTCTCTCAGTTTTCATTCATGTTTATGTAAAATACTACTGAGTAAGACTTACATTAACCTTTGTCACATATCTATGTTGGTATATGCAATACAGGTTTGTGCATGCTATAATTGCTGTGCAGGTTATGTGCTATAGCTTCATGGAGAGAAACTGGCATTTATACAGATTTGTTTAATTAGCCAGAAGACTGGAATTGTGAGCATGTACAGACATTTAATGTATGGACAGTAAATGTCTATTCAGGTTTAGTTCTGTTGAGCTTGAAGATAATTATGCTGGTGAATTTGTGGAGTGGCGTACCTGAGTGGGAGGAAAGTTTAGTAACATATTCTTTTTAAAAATCAGTTAGTGCCAAGGATCATCAGATGGGCAGGACCTTGTTTCTGTAAACTGGACTTGTAAAACGTTGGGACAGGTAACTCATAAGAGATTGGGGAAGTCAGACTCACTTCCTTTCTGGGTTTATGATGAAATTCTTCCCTTCCCCTTTTCTAAAAAGACAGCTGCTCAGCTACACTTCTTCACATCTGACACCCACTGGATGTCAATCTCAGGGAAGTGTGGAGAAAATTACCACTGTGCTTAAATTTCAGTTTTCAGCTGAGTATCAGAAATGATAGTGACAACTATCCTCTATAGTTAAGGCCCTACCAAAGTCACTGTCCATTTTGGACAATTTCATGGTCACAGGATTTTTAAAATAGTCAATTTCATGGTTTCACATGTTTACATCTGAAATTTCAGGGTATTGTAACCATGGGGGTCCCGACCCAAAAGGGGGTCATGGGAAAGGCTACTGTAGGGGGGGTCGTGGGATCGCTACCTTTACTTCTGTGCTGCTGCTGGTGGGGGCGCTGCCTTCAGAGCTGGGCAACTGGAGAACAGTGGCTGCTGGCTGGGCTCCAAGCTCTAAAGCCAGCACCACTGTCAGTAGCAGCATGAAGTGAGGATTGCAGGGTATGGGGGAGCAGGTTACCCTACGTTTGGGTTTTCCTGGCAGGCTCTCCTCCTGGGTTGGGGTGAGGGGTGCTGACAGCTGGGGCTGCAGCCTCTCTGCCTGGGTTGTGGCCTGTCCCAGCCAGCTACCATGGAGCTTCCTACAGCTGGGGGAGGTTCCCAGAGGTGGGTCTGACCCAGGTCCCGGAGTGGCTCCTGCAAGGGAAAAGGAAGTCCTGTCCCTCCCCAGTCTGGGCTGGGATTAGCAGCTGGAGCTTGGCCCAAAGTAGGAGCCCATGGCTAGGGTGCCCCCAGCACTGTCCCTCCCCTACAATAGCCAGATTTCATGGTCCATGATGATCGTGAATTTGATAGGGCCCTATCTATAGTGTAAGGGCTGGTCTACACGGAAAACTAAAGTTGGCATAGCTACACATGTCAGGGGTGTGAAAAATTAATAGCTGTGCCAATGTAACCCCTTGTGTGGACAGTGCTAGGTCCGCGGTGGAGGTGGATTAACTGCAGTGAGGGGAGAACCCCTCCTGTTTCTGTAGTGAGTGTCTACACTGAACTGCTACAGCTGTGCCACTGTAGCATTTTAAATGTAGACATACCCTAAAACAGATTGTTGAAATACAGGGCTTGTCTATGTACAGAAGCTGTGCTGGTTTAACTAAAATAGGTTTTTAAACTGATTTTAATTAAGCCTGTGCAAATCCCTCTGTGGTGACACAATGATTTAAAATTGTTTGCCACCTTAGCTTGTATCTGTAACTTTACCATTGAAAGCTTGAGTGATATGAATTGGTTTTAAATCTTCAGTGTGTCTAAAGAGAGTTTTGGACAAGTTTTGCTAAATCAGTTTAAAATACCACCTTTTGTTAATCCAGTACAGTTTTGCATGTAGACTTTGTGTAAACTGGTGTTCGAGAAAAAAGCTCAGACTAAATTACAAAAATTGTGAATAATTAGTCCCTGTCCCAAAACGTTTACAACTGATCTTTGTTTGTGTTTGTACAGGACCTAGTGCAAGGGGGTCCTGGTCAATGAATGGGGCTTCTAGCCGCTGCTACAATAGAAATGATAGCTAAATAACAAAACCTGGGTTCTTCCTGATTCTTGTCCTCAAGTTTCATTTTCAACCACATGAGTCAATGAATTAAGTTTTTGGTACCTTTTCACTCTCTTTTTTTCTTTTCTTTTTTTTTTAAACAGTTTTTTCCTTACC